TGAAACATTATAAAATTGATTTTAACTTCCTCGTAGTATCCATTATTCTATTTTTGGTCAACAACTATAGGTTATGCGAAAATTTAGGTTGCTTATATAGCTACGATGATTGGGTTCTTCAACAAGTTCCATACCAATTACTCAATACAATTCCATGGAGTTAAAAACTAAACCAAATCCATGCTAACCGAAATTGGCTAAACAAATGTTTTCCAGGCACGCCCACCTCAAATGGCATACCACCTCATAAGAACCTAATCCATTCATGCAACTATTTTATTTTCTTACATAAAAGTTATACATATTACCACTAAGTCCTTCTTGTAATGTATTTGGGCATTCCTCTCATCACATCTAGACTCAAAAAGCAGCATTGTGAAGGCTTTGTGGAGAGAATCAAAAAAAGGATTAGAACCTGAACTAACAAATTGTTGTCTTATGCTGGTAAGCTTCAGCTTGTGACTTCTATCATTAGCAGCATTCGAGTCTTCTGGTCCTCCCATCTTGCTTTTCCGCAATCAGTAATTGAAAAAATTGAGCAGCGCATGAGGGCGTTCTTATGGAAGGGTGTTGATTTGAAGAATATTGGAGCTAAAGTGGCTTGGACTAAGGTTTGCAAACCTAAGGATGAGGGTGGATTGGGCATTAAGAGGCTCAAGGATTGAAATTCTTCCTTGCTTATGAAGCATATTTGGAAGTTATTCACGAAAAAAACAGGCCTTATTCTCAAGGTGGATACACTCTTACCACTTGAGAGGGAGAAGTCTTTGGGAAATCAGAGCTACCCCAACTAGCTCTTGGACATGGCAAAATATTTTGAAGTTAATGGAGGTTATTAGACCTCTTTTGACTCATACAATTGGTAATGGTTATGATACATTTTTATGGCTTGACAATTAGCATCCTAATGGTCCTCTATTTCGAAGATGGAGTCATATTCCCATTCTTGCCTCTGCTTTCACCATGAGTTTCAAAGTTAGCTGCATCATCTCTAGGACTCAATGGTGTTGGTCCAATGCCTCTTCTCTTACTTTGGCTAGGATTGTTGAATCTATGCCTACTTATTCCCGCAACCATCTTGCTGATGACAAAGTCCTTTGGTCTCTCACTGCAAATTCTCAATTTTCTACCACTCTTTCTTGGCACTACATCAGATAAACTGCGCAGAAAATTCCTTGGTCAAAGCTTGTTTGGCACACACCTCATTCCCAAGATGAGCTTTATTTTATGGCTAGCCATTAGGCAAAGATTATATACCAAAGAAAGAGCTCACTCTCTTTCCAATCAAGTGGATTTGGGATGCATCCTTTGCAGACAATTCCCTGAGTCTCATTCTCATCTCTTTTTTGAGTGAACCTTCTCCCATGGTACTTGGAAAGCCATTCTCATATGCAGGCAAACTCAGTGGTCTCCTTCTCCTTGACTCTCTTTCATTAATTGGGTTGCTACCCACTGGAAGGGAAAACCTATGCTCTCTATCATCCTTAAGCTTAGCCTTACTTCTACAGTTTATCATATTTGGATGGAGAGGAACTCCAGAGTGTTCTCTAACCAATTTAGGGACCACAATTCTCTGATTCAAGTCATCAAACAAGCAATCAAGGACAAACTCATGTATACTAAACTCAAGCACTCCACCTAGAATCTTAGGCTGCTGCATCTATGGGATCTTCCTCTCAGCTGCTTAGCATAATTCCTTTTGAGGACTATTTTTGTATAATCTTAGGACTTGAATTCTTGGGGAAGTGTTGAGTATCCTCTATACTTACCTCTGAATTTTGATATTTCTTCTCCATTTTGATGGACAACATTAGTTGTACTTTTGTTTGTTCATATATAGTTTTTTTTAATACAAACTTTACCTTTCGAGAAAAAGGGAAGGAGAACACTTAGCTAATGCGCAATCATGACTGCCATACTAGAAAGTCTATTGTGTTTTTAGACATAGAGCACCGAGACGTCAAGGTAGAAAATACAAAAAGATAAAAGAGAACATAAAGAATTCTTGGAACTTAAAAATTTAACTTAATATGTTGATATAATGACGTGATTTTATTTTAACAGTCGGATTAATACGAAATTTCAATGTTTGATGAGACCCACTATCAATTCAATAACTATAATAAATTAGGTCAACAAATTAATTCAATAAATTATATCCCAATAACATTGCTCGTAAATTACAACTTAATTTTGTAGGTGGAATTACATTAAGAAGATGAAATTTGCTCTCCTATTTTTGGACATGCTCTGTAGACAGCATGCATATCGTAATAGACATAGATGATATAAAACTTGTTGGGGTATTACATGTGAAAATCCACACATTGGATAGGAACAAATACAAAATGTTCTAATATACTGTTAATAGATTTATTACACTTATAAAAAGATTTAGCTATATCCAATGTTTTTTTAATAAACATAGATGATATATTTTTGTAGTTACTCCATGTAAATTAGGTTTTTTTTTCCTTCAAAGCCACCCAGTGTGAGTGGGGGGTTTGACAGGACCCCTACGTATATATATAACTAAAAAGAAAAAAGTACAAGGGAGGGGGACTAACCACCAGAAGTACGTGAGGATTCTGTCGAGCATCAAAAGCGAGGATGCTAGCAATCCCAGAAGGAAGGGATGACGAATCAGAAAATCACTAATTGAGCTGCTGAGAGCAAGCCCAATTAGCCATGAAGTCGACAACCTGATTCGCCTCCCGTAGGACGTGGCAGACACGAGCCGAGAGAGAAACACACATAAGCCAAATGCGAGCAAGCAAATAAGCATAAACCCAGCACCCATTACCCTGAGAATAAACCCAAGAAGCCACTGTAACTAAATCTGCCTCCACTACCAACTTTGAAAACTCCCAAATCTGCGACCAACTCTAAACTATCGCAAACAATTTGCATCTCCGCATACAGAATAGGCTGACGTCCCATAAACAATTCAAAAGCCCTGAGAACCCGACTCTAGTGGTCCCGAATAACACCCCCTGCCGCAGACAACCCCAGATTGCCTTTAGAATAGCCATCAACACTGATCTTCAGGCAACCTGATACAGGACGAATCCAAGCAACCAAGCAGAGAGGCCAAGGCCGAGGAACCAAGACCCTAAGAGAACCCACAAAGTCAACCGACTTATCCCGACACAACTGACTTAGAGCAAACCCAAAAGCAAGCCCAATCAACTGCATATCGGTCATAACCCTCTGAACCACAACGGGCAACTGAAAAGCCCGTCCATCAAACCGATAAGCATTACGCGCCTTCCATAGGTGCCACAGAATAAAACACGGTAACAGTACACGCACATGACCTGCAGAAGGAGTACAACGCCGCCAACAAAGCGTAAAAGTATAAGGAAACTGAAACGGCCAAGATCTGATCTCAAACATCCGATAAAAGTAACCCCACACTTGAACTGCAAGCGGACAATCCAAAAAAAGGTGCTTAAGAGTCTCAAAAATTAGGTTGAATACCATACTATTAATTAATAGATTACACAATAACGCAACTTTTTAGTCTATAGATGCACACATTTTGCTAAACCATGCTTATTTTTGTGTTTTGTTTCCTATGTTCGGTTCTTGTCTCTCAAACAACGGTGTTACAGTTATCCTAAACAAAATAGTTTTAACAAATTGGTATTGACGCTGATTAGTTGCTAGACTAAAAATCAACAAAACTCGTGTATTAAAAGGGAAACTTCACATGCTGCAAGTGCCATGAGTCGAAGGCCACACCTCATGCATTTTTAATTCTCTTGGATATCTGGTTTCAAAATCCAGGATGTTTCTTTAGAAAAGCAATAGCAAAGCTGGACCTCCTGGTATTAGATTGAGAATGTTATGGTCAAACAGTCAAAGGTAATCCAACGTCATCGGATTAGTTATTTTTTGTGACGTCATAACTTGATATTTGCTGACCAAGCACTCCACTAAAGAATACAAAAATGTCACAGCTGGACCTCCTACTATTGGTTTTGCTGGCCATTATTCTTATAATATTGCAAAAACGATTGTTTTGCAGCATAATCCATGATCAGCCAAGAAGTTTCAATAGACCATACCTATAGCAGGCGTCGAAGAAACCGAAGTTTGATAATGGACATGCATGTACCTGTGCTTTTACCATTTCCATACTCGTTTCGTTGCATAACAATGAGGACAGTAGACTCTTTCAGTGCATTGGTGACAAAACGGCACAAGGCTCTCTCGCTCTTTCTGACAAGACACTCTTTCAATGCATTGGTGACAGAACGGCGAAAGGCTCTCTCTCTCTCTCTTTCTGACAAGAGACTCTTTCAATGCATTGGAGATAGTACAGCACAAGGCTCTCTCTCTCTCTTTCTGACAAGAGACTCTTTCAATGCATTGGTGACAGGACGGCGAAAGGCTCTCTCTCCCCAAAAAAAATAAATAAATAAATAAAAGGAGGACAAACTATAACTTGTTTTGCAGCTAGATCAAGTCTCACTTGTGCTCATAAGTGACTCAGTGTTTACTCATATCTAGTATTTTCGAATGGCTCCTAGTGTCCTTTTGTTTGGACTGTTGGCCATAGCTGGTTCGCTCGCTTCGGCTTCTGACCATAGCCCTCTCCAAGATTTTTGTGTCGCCGATGCTACCAGCCCAGGTAATGCATTCTTTAAACTCAGTTTTTATTTTTTATTTTTAATTTTTTAATTTTTTTTTAAACTCATTTAACCTTACTTATTGGGGCTTCTATGTTTCTTCACTTTTTTCGTGTATTTGTAGATAAAACCTAGTTGTTCCCTACAGTTTATGTTTCTTCACTCTTTTCTGTGGCAGTTTTGGTGAATGGTCTGGTTTGTAAGGACCCGAAGCTCGTAAAAGCTGATGATTTTTTTTTTCAGAAGTCTTCACTTAGCTGGCAATACATCCAATGCAGTTGGATCACGTGTAACTCCAGTAAACGTAGCTCAAATACCAGGACTTAATACTCTTGGCATCTCTTTGGTCAGGATCGATTATGCACCATGGGGGATAACCCTCCACACACACATCCTCGAGCTACTGAAATTTTAACTGTAGTAGAAGGCCTCCTTGAAGTAGGGTTTGTCACTTCTAATCCAGAAAACTGTCTCATAACAAAAGTGCTTCAGAAAGGTGACGTATTTGTCTTCCCAGTGGGTCTCATCCACTTCCAGCGCAATGTTGGATACTGTGATACAGTTGCTATTGCAGCCCTCAATAGCCAAAATCCTGGAGTTATTACTGTTGCAAATACCGTCTTTGGATCAAAGGCTGATATCTCTAGCGATCTTTTAG